CGATAAAATGGACAAATACGTACAATAATCTACCAAACACACATAGTTTTACAGTAATATTATTAACTTTTCTCGTCACTTGGCGTCCATCGTCCGTCGTCGTCTGTTAAATCAAACTTAACTTCATTGGTAATTATACCTCTCTTATTTAATTTTTCATACTGATCTCGGTAATCCATTTTGTCCAATATTGAAATTTGAAAAGCAATGTTTGAACGGTCCTCAAGTAAATGGACAAAAACAGCTGATGCCGACTAATACCCTGCCAGCCCGCCCAATGTATTACCCAGAATTAATGACCGGGGCATAGTTAAGAAAACCATTTGAAAAAGAATTCATCAATTCGGCGATTCTCAGTTTTTGATAAGGAGCTTTATTTTTAAAAGGCGTTTGACTATTTCCCCCCTGAGTTTGTTTCACTTAATCACGGGATTAGATCCCGAAAATTGTTGAAACCTAGTAGAATTTGGTTAAAAGAATGTTAGATATGACGACGTAACTCTATTACTTGCAATGGACCAAAGTGAATTCGTCATTTTAAGTAGAATAAAATCATTTGTTCTCATGAAACTGGCACTGCACCAATAAAAACTGGCCACCACGATATAGCCAATAGTGCTGAAAGTGGCGTTAAATACCAATTCATTGATTGATTCAGTTCCTATTAACTTAAATATATTCTCAAATAATCGATTAAGGTAGATGGGGGGTCTAAATTAAAATCCATATAATTTTTGAATAATTTGTCAAAATGTAGTTTATGTCATGCTTTTTTTTTTAAATATAATAAAAAGTATGGGTCACCGGGCTTTTTATCACGCTACAGGTTGTGCAAAATTGTCAGATTTTGTATAGATTATGCATGGAAAACCCAATTTTGTGTGCTAAAAAGAAAACTACTCCATAGATTTTTAAGATAAAATATGAGAAAATATCTCTCATAATATGCTTTCAGATAAGAAAAAGAAAAATGGGGTCACCGGACTCGTTTTCTTGCTACATAGAATAAAAAAGGGAAATTTACAACACATTCTATTACAAAAGTTACTTTATCTGAGTTATGTCCCTTTAAATCTGAGTTATCTACCCTTATGTGGCAAAGTTGGAAAAAAGGTGAATCAAACAAAAATATTCTGTTTTTTTTTAATAAAATACAGCCGTAAATATGATAAAACACATAATTTTCTAAATTATCATGACCAGTCTTACACATGAATTACATACTACTCTCGAAATTTGCAAATTTCATTCAAGATCTAGACCGATTGCTATCTGCTATTTCAAAATCCAAGATGGAGGAAGACACCCCAGCTACATTAAACGCAATAAGCATCTCCGGAGGGAATCACATCAGGACTGCTCAATTGCGAGAAATGGGACCGAATCGAAACCCTGTTGGACATGACGGGAGAGTTGCGCACACAGGGTTGAGTTATCGTATTTAAAAGAATTTAGCAATACTTTCCCAATGTGTTCATATATGCACAACATTAAACATTTCATTGATTGATACAAATTGCTGTTGAGAGCTGTGGAAAACTGTACCATGTTTTATTCACATTTGCATTGAAATATTGATTGATTGATTTTTGCCTAAACACCCACTGCTGGTTGATATTCAGGACAAACAAAAGACTTCGTCAACCAAATTTAAAATCATGTTTGAAAGCACAGGTGCGAGATGAGATATTTCTTTTACTTTATGTTTATACTCAATGTGTTTGACTATATCCATAAATTTTAAAAAAAACCTCGTCTCGCTCCAGGGTTTGAAAGAGCATACCGATTTTGGGCTCTTTGCAAAAAAATATTCCTACCTTTCGAGTCAATCCATTTTGTTTTATCCATTCAACGTCTCTCTCTCGTCCATCTTTTTCGAGGACTATTATTACTTAGCACATACTTACAACTTCTCCTCCAATCAAATTGCTTATATTTGCCTTCTAATTTTCATAGTACATACTTTTCCCGTGTACTAAGTAACTACGCATGAATGACCACAAGGGTAAGATTTCATTGTATCGTAATCAAGATATTTAAAACAAAAATTGCCACTGGCTATTTTGAAATAAATGCTGTGTTCCAAATTAAATTAAATAGTTTGTAATTAGTTTTCACGTTGATTTTTACATATCCTGCTATTAAAATCTTTGGATCTAAAAAATGTTTTTGACTATTGCAAATTTCTTTCATTTAAATAAAGGGTAATACATATGGTTTTTTTTATACCTTGATTAGAGTACAACGATATCTTAAAATTATGATAATGTATCATCCATGCAATTACTTTGTACACAAAAAAGTGTCTACTATAAAACCTTGTGAAGGGAAATTAAAGCAACTTGGTGATAATTTTTTAAACTTTCTTAAGGAAGGTGATCTATTTCGTCATGAATTGATTGATTTATTGATTATCTGTTGCTTAATTTCCAGTGGCAAATATTTCATGCATGTTCAGGACGATGTCATGAATTGAAAAAATTGTGATTATGTCTGAAGATAATGTGCCAATTATATATATATAAACATATTCTGATAAATCTTTTAGTTTTTACTTTGAAATAATAAAAAAAAAAAAAAAAAAAAAAACACAAAACCTATAATCTCTGATCTATTGGTAGTTGCTTTTTAATGCCTATCTGCTAGACTATATCTATGGGGACAAACTATCTATATGTTTCAAAATTATTATAGCTTTAGTTTTACTGTGAAATAAAAAAAAATGTTTTCAAAACATGTAAAGCTTCCACTGCAATTTAATTATTGCCTGCTTTTGGTCAATTTATTTGGTCATCTTACCATGTAAGAAGAACATGTATAGTAAAACACCGCTTTATATCAATATACATACTTACACCAGCAGCTACCATCTTTTCATTCTGGAGTCAAGGGCCTTTTGAAATCACATATTTTACAATGATACTAGTGAGTAGATTTACAAAACTTCGTTAATGAACTCCGTTTTACAAACACCTGTGATACAAGTAGTCAGCCAAATAAACTATCAATAGACCAATTAAAAGATTACTCGAGTTGTAAATATGTGCTAAATTGGATAGTCTATAAAAAGGTATATACTATGAAATTAAGAGCTCGGGGCAAGCCCCTCGCTCTAAATTTCATAGTATATACCTTTTTATAGACTAACCTAGACTAAATGTATGAGCAGATCTTTCGTTAAAGATAATATCCTTAAACTTTTTGCACGGACCGCGGGAACATTTATATGACACAAAACACTTACAGTGCAAAATAGGAGTTGTAAGTGATTGACAATGCAGGTGCGTGGAAATATTCTTGTCATTGTATACGTGTCAACTTGACTTCTCAGTGAAAAATGTTGCTGTAAAATATGTATGGTTATCCACGTTTAACGGGAAAATCTGACTTTGATGATATTCACGCATAGTAATGAAATAAATATGCAAATATAAACATTAGTGTATAGAGATAAATAATCAGTCTGGAAAACATCGCTTATTCAGTAAAGTAGTATTTTTCAAAGAAAAAACTACTTCTGTACGGTATAGGTATCTTTTTCATATAGATTTTACAGCAAATAAATCTATAATAAGATTTTTCAAAAACCATTTGATTAAATAAGAAAATTTCTGTTTAATATGATTGTTCGATTCAAAGTCAGAACTTTCAACCGAAATAAAAAGCACGAATTTTTTCTAAAATATCCATAGAGTGATAGTGTAAATCAAATAAGTTTCCATTATAAACCTTTGGGAATTTTCTTCAAGCTGTCAAATGTCCAACAATTTCAAAATTGCTAGAGTTAGGTCTTCCTTCAAAAAAGACTGCAGTCAAAATCTTCAAATTAGAGCCAAATATATTTATTGAGTTGTGTAGGGAAATGCTATTGAAAGGGTAGTTTGAAAACATATTTATCATTATTATTTTATAAGTGTACTCATTATTATGCGTTTGGTTTTCTTAAAGGACATTCTACTGTTTAATAGCGTTTGATCAACTATAAAGTTAAATATACTCGAAAATTAAGGTACGGATCTCATATGGAAGAGTCTCTCACGGATCTCCTCCATTTGAAATAGTGTTTTCATAGTTTCACCAAAAGCCACAGGCAAAACTAATGTTAAACAAGACATCTGACCATTTCATGCAAACAGTTTCAAAACATTATCCCTTTTTTATAGTTTTCAAAAATCATAAATTTCTCGAAAATTCGCCCCAAAAAATTTGATTTTAATGAATTCTAGTCCAAAAGGACTTCCACTTCATTGAACTTAAGTAGCAAAATGGCAGAAATAACGGTTGTTTTGGTCAAGTGGTCGTCTTTTAAAGTGGAAAATTAACACTATATATATATCATACATTTTACCTTCTGAAAATGTGATAGCCATGTCTGTATTCTTAAATTTTGTAGCCTGCCTTTTTCTCTATTCTTTATATTTCAGCACCCCTTTATTCTCTATTATTTATATTTTTTGTCTTTATTCTGTACTTTTTGCCATTATTTTCTAGTCTGTTAACCCCATCCACCTTGACTTTGCCATTATTTTCTATTCTGTAAACCCCATCCACCTTGACTTTGCCATTATTTTCTATTCTGTTAACCCCATCCACCTTGACTTTGCCATTATTTTCTATTCTGTTAACCCCATCCACCTTGACTTTGCCATTATTTTCTATTTTGTAAACCCCATCCACCTTGACTTTGCCATTATTTTCTATTCTGTAAACCCCATCCACCTTGACTTTGCCATTATTTTCTATTCTGTTAACCCCATCCACCTTGACTTTGCCATTATTTTCTATTCTGTTAACCCCATCCACCTTGACTTTGCCATTATTTTCTATTCTGTTAACCCCATCCACCTTGACTTTGCCATTATTTTCTATTCTGTTAACCCCATCCACCTTGACTTTGCCATTATTTTCTATTCTGTAAACCCCATCCACCTTGACTTTGCCATTATTTTCTATTCTGTAAACCCCATCCACTTTGACTTATTGATCAATACAAATATTTAAATTTAACCACTGCATAGTGTCTAGTTTCTGATGCATAACCAAACCGGTTTTGTAATAATAGTTTTCTGTAATGTGATTCATTTATGCTATAATATAAACAAAAATTTAAACACGTTTCTACAGAAGATATGGCGGACGCATCCGCCGATATATCTCTATCACCGGACAATGAACTAAATGTAGAATGGACAGACACATTATTCACCAACATAAAAGACGATTTACCAAAGATCTGTAAATATGAAGGTCAGCTTCCTCAAGGGTTGAAACTATACTCACAGCAACCGGTGCTGTTGTACAGATGGTACCATAAGAGGAAGGGGGAAGTCCGGACTATATACCGAGATACGACTGGACCTTACTATGAAGTCGGTCAAACGTTACAGATACCAGAGGATTTTGAAGGTAAGCTGGTTCCTGAGTACATGCAAACAATACTTCTGCTGGAAAGATTTTTCTATAATTATTACTAAAAACTAAAAAAAATTACATGTTTTGTAACGACTGCTCCATGAAACAATATAAAATTATTACTTATAATTACATTATTCATAGTTTCTATATTTTGATGTATAGATGTTTTATTGGAAAATGAAAATAACAAAAAAAATAACATAAAAATGAATTAACATGGAGTATAAAAAAAATCAAAATAGATAAATAAATAGCTTTAAAAAAATTACTCCCCACATTTAGAATCACGAAAGAAACTTCAAGACCAACATGGCAGTTGAAGCTTACAATATACATATATTGATTGATTGATAATTGTTGCTTGCTCAACGTCGCGTAAACTTATAACACACAACACTGTCTACCAAATGCGAATGAACAACAATAAGCATGTATATATATATGCAACGAACAAGTGAACATACACGTGATTTGGTCTCTGGAGCATTGGCTTAACGTCTTCTTAATTTTATAATACATGTAAAAACATGGAACACTGTCTATCAAATGCGAATGCACAAAAAAAAACATGTTTATATTCATTTAAGCCAATTAAAAGTCCTATTATAAACAGGTTGGTTTGAGCTTGTGCCACCAGATTTTGGACGTGTGAAGTATTATGAATCTATTGAAGAAGTATCCAAGACAATGCCAATGAAATTTTTCACTCGGACTAACTTAACAGGCATATGTGTAGGTAACTCTGGTGAAAGCGAACAGACATATGTTCAACGTAAGATTCCAGCTGGAACAGTCCTAAAGGTAGAAAGCACTTTCAAGGCAAAATGGCGGACATGTGCAGAGACGGGGGTCTTGAAAAAGAAACAAAAAGAGTGGACTTCACGTGAAATACAATATCTCAAATGCATAGATAACAAAGAACAAGAAATATTGATACCTTTCACGGCAAAAGGAAAATTCCATCCAGTATATCAAAATGGGAGTTCCGACAGCAAATGTCTTTTCAGAATGAAAGATATATTGACCAATTTAACGTTGCCTGTGAAGGTTAGGATTATTTATGGAAAACCCCCTGTAGTACCTTGTATTTTTACTGGTATGTTGGTTATAAAGAGACGTATAACTGAAGATGTGTTTGTTGGTAGTACTATAACATTTAAGAGGCATGCACTTTTTGAACTTCCAGCATACAATGACGTGAAAATTTTCATGGCTAAATCCGAAGAACAGTTTGTAGATATGAAGACATATAAAGATGCTAAACAGCTTTGTCAGAAATACTCAGATTCTTACAGTTCGCTAATTAAATTGTCTCCTAAATTAGACACGGATCATCAAATGATACAACATATTCCAACGGAAAAAACGAAACAAAGACACGAAAGTCTGAAAACTCTTGATCTTATAACAAATATAAGCCTTACTGACGATGAACCCAGATCACAGTTCATGGAAAGTTCAAGTGACGACACAGTTTCAGAACAGTCTCTTACGTTGGGAACGCTGGTCGAACTTAAAGAATTTTCAAATAGGACATCTATGATGTGTTGAATTTTATTGAGTTGACCGAATCTTGCCTTTTCAACTAGCGTACTATTTCCGGTGATAATAAGGAAGTTTAGAAATATTTATTGTTTGAAATTGTAAAGTCTAGTCATTTTTTTTTTATTTGAAGTAAAGCGAATCTTATATAAATCATTTCCTTTTTCCAGTAATCTACTATGGGACGTATTCCGTTTATGAATTTATGGGTTACTGTATACCTCACGTGTAAATTTACATGCTACAAATGTTGCACAGACGTGGCTTGCGGTATATCGTATCGTCACATATAAAAACTATTAAGCAACACAGCTTACTGAATCACGACATTGGACATGGCTTCTATACATACTGTCATGAAGCTTTATATAAATATATCTCTTTCAATTTTGAAATTAATGAGTGTTTGTTTGGAGTTAAGAGACTATATTTATTTCAATAGAGCTGGTATACTATATATGTATCAAAATTCCATCAACGACTTCATGCAATAGCACATAATGTGTCAGCTATATCTCGACCAAAGGATTTTTTTTATAATTTAATTGCCTCAGGAATTATTAGAAAAAAAATATTTGCAGTGAGATTGTAAAGTTCTCAATGTACATGTCAATAAACTAGCGATTGTCTTTCGGCTATTTAAATAAGTCCCGAGCACCTATATTTGCATCTCAATCCTATATTAAGTTACTACCAATAAAATTGAGAATGGAAATGGGGAATGTGTCAAAGAGACAACAACCCGACCAAAGAGCAGAATACAGCCGAAGGCCACCAATGGGTCTTCAACACAGCGAGAAAATCCCGCACCGGAGGCGTGCTTCAGCCGGCCCCTAAACAAAAATGTGTATTAGTTCAGTGATAATGGACGTCATGTACTAAACTCCGAAACATATAAATGAACTAAAATTAAATATCATACAAGACTAACAATGGCCAGAGGCCCCTGACTTGGGACAGGCGCAAAAATGCGGCGGGGTTAAACATGTTTTGTGAGATCTCAACCCTCCTCTATACTTCTAGCCAATGTAGAAAAAACAAACACACAGCAATACGCAACATACTTTGAATTAAGAAATGTAAATGAATTCATTTAATTAACCAATAAATATGTTCTGTTCATATGCCTCGTAGTTGTCGGACTTTAACCGTCTCTCTATAGATAACTTTTATAAATATTTGTTTTGACTGACTTTCATAAGATTTGATAAAAATGTTTAAATTGCATTCAGAAAGATTTTTTTTAAATTATGACTTTTTTTATTCGCTTACTTGACGTTAATGTCCAGTGTCACTCGACGTCCGTCGTCCGTAAACCTATACACAAATCTTCGATGAAACTACTTGGCCAATTGCAATCAAACTTGACCACAATCATCCTTAGAGTATTCAGTTAAACACTGTGTACGATGAATCCACCGAACATGGCCAACATGGCTATAAAAGAACATAGGGATGAAATTCAAGTATTTTCAAAATATATAGTCGACTTCTTAAAAGTTTAACTATTTTTGCAGGTTGGGTCCTTAAATGCCGATTTTTTTACCAAAATTTGGCACTTTTGGCGATTACCTTGATAACTTAGTTATTTTTTTGTGAATGTTACTTAATAGAAAGTGAAAAGAGGAACAGTGATCACCAAAATAAGACTATGACAAGTCTTAACGACCGAAATTGTCCAACAACTCCTTATAGGAGTTATTGCCCTTAAATGACAATATTTGCAATTTTTAGCACACCAAGCCCAAAGGGACATTGTTAGCTTTTCCAATCACTTTGTCTCCGCCGTCTTTCGTAGTCCGTATTTTCCTCAGAAACTACAAAGCCAAATTTAACCAAACTTGGCCACAATCATTATTGGTGTATCTAGTTTAAAACAAAATTGTCCGGTGACCCCGTCTGCCTACAAACATGGCCGACACGGCTAAAATTAGAACACAGGGAAACTTTGATAGTTTTAATTACACTTCGTTTGCTTGCAAGGTTTATCCTTAACTAATTTTTCAACTAAAAAAATTAGGTTAATTTACCAACAAAAGAATTATTGTCTGCAACTGCTTTTATAATTTTTAACAGCTGTTTTATCGTGAATTGCAGTGAAATGGAATATCTGACTTATTAGTTAAGATCTATCACAATATATAAAGATTAACCTCGTTCTTTTACTGCCGCCAATATTTGCAAGTCATAAATTTGCACCCTGTTTATGCTTTGCTGAAAAATTAAAAAAAAATCCTTTTCAATCGAATGTACAAAATTAACTTCATATTTTTGGTTACATAACAGCCACTTGGCCAAAAATTACCGCAGTGATTCCAGTAAAGGAGCAGTTAAAATTACTTTGCAAAAGTAACAAGGTTAATGCCGTCGGATCACCACAGCAATTTACAATCCTTATCGCTGTCCGATATTCATTTCTCCCATCAGTATTTGCGTGAGTTGGTATGACTATTAATGCAGAGCCACGAGATGAAGTAGGAGACGCCTAACAGTAACTAATGATGCTCATGTTCAGAATATGTTTACCTTTTTCCAGTGGAAGTTAAGCACCCACCAATCAATCAATCAATCGGTTATCAATAACTTAATATCAATGTTTCACAATACTCTGACATAGTTTAATTGTTATAGATTGTCTTATAATTGTACATGTATATGAATGAGTCTGTCACTGTTCCTCTTCGTTTATATATTGATATAATACTAATAGTTCTATGCGATTAAACTATTACCATCGCTATCTATGCTTATTGTTAGAGTTAGAGGATGGGGTAGATTTTTTATCATTCATCTAATATATGCAGTATTCCATTGGACAAAGACACTAAAAATTAGGGTAAAAGTTGGCAAGCAGAGTTCACTATATAAATAACACATAGCTGAGAGGGTGATAGAGTAGATTGTTACCCCGAGAAAACTCTAAAAATAACTCGAATCAAAAGCAAAATAGGTGGGCACAATGGCATTATATGGAGAATATTCTGAAAAAGTTTCATTAAATTGTGGTTTGGTCGAAAGGAGAATAAGCGAATACAAATCTGTACTGCAGTGTGTGACATAGTACTTGCCATGTCAAACAATACTATTTTAGGGCTAATCACTTCATCACAGTTTCTAATCTGTCATTTTTTTTGTTTCCAAATACATATACGTAAGATTTATGAATATAGCACCATATTTTCACACGATTAACATTATGTGAAGCCATGCTTTTCTACTACAGCTTCTCATCCTTCTTTGATTCCTTTTCCACTTTTCTTGCAGTTTTATCCACTGTATAATTATGACGCACTTTAAGTTCGTTGGCATATCCATCTGCGTTTTTATCCATAAATTTCAAAGTATCTAAGAAAGTTTGATGTCGGTCGAAATGCGGGTAGTTTAAAGCTTTAACAAATAATGGCACCGGTGCTACGGGAAGCTCTAGTAATCTTTTGTTTTCACTAATTGTACATGCTATTACTGTATGATCTTTGATCAAATCACATACTTTCAATATCTGAGTAAACCCACATGGTTTTGACGGCGGTCGACCATGTAGCAGTTTCAAAATGACACCTTTAGATAACCCTGCCGTGTACATATCTTTTATATTATATGCATATCCTATGTTCTCAATATTAATATGCTTTGATGTTGACTTACGTACTTCAATCAAGTAAAACATCCCCGCCGCTTCAAACGGGAGTAAGACATTGGTATCGTCTTCCGTCTTACAAACAAGACAGCGGAGTAATTTCCGTTTGACGATCTTTTTATGGTCGGTATACCTAACAAAATCTTCCCGTACATTGAGTACTTTAAGTAACCCTGGTTGAATATCTACTTTGAGGTGTAATGGTTCAGCTAAGTTACTATTTGTAGTGTACTGGTCGCGGATATATCCGGTCACTAGTTTGTATGATAAGATTTTCTTGGGCATTATTCTAGCTACATTTGAGATAGTTGTTAGCGGTTTATCACGGTCATCTATTAGACGAAACCACCCTGCAAAATAAATTTTAAAACAGATTCAATTTTTTTTCCTTTAATTGTTGTTTTCGTAATTGGGTAAAATTTTCGTTTAATGACGGCAACTAATAAAAGGCATTCAGTGTCTCTGAATTATTCAGATATTGTTTTCCTAGTGTTTTTCATCCTTTGAATACCGTACTCATATTAACATGTTCGAAGTCTTTAGCCGTCACGAGTTGTATCTCCTTAAATGGAATCGCTTGATGTTTTACTTGTTGTTTTTCTTTATGAAAAATAACGTTGTTGCTCAAAAAGGATATCGCTGAAATAAAATAGTTTTCGTCTAGGAAATGTAAAATAGTCGTCTGTTTTCAAAATTTTGTTCCTTGTATTTCAAGATTGAGAAAGAGTCAAATGACAAGACATGCAACAATTCAACAACAATAGTTAAAAAACAAAAATAAGCATGTAAAACTCTAAATATGATGTTCAATCGTAGAGAACCCTTACAAAATTTTGTGCTGTGAGGATAATTTTGTTTGAATAAACAACGTTACAGTAAGTATATGTTCATAGAATGCCAATATCATTTAGATTTTTTTAATTTTTAAAAACCGAGTCTGCCAGTATCTTTGCACTTTTACACTAGTTATAGTAGTACAAATGTGTACTGTGGTAACATACCTGTATACCCAAGTGGAATGACAACTATTGGATCATCTTTACATTGGGCCCCTGTCAGTAAATCCACAGAAGTAACATTTTTACAGTAAACTTTAACCCCATTCAACTCTTTATACAGAAGTAAAGGTTTATGTATATCCAATAATGGCGAGCTGTCAGCTGCGGATTTTTCCAGCCACATTTTCACTACAGAAGGTAAGTCTCCTGAGGAATCAATGATTTCCTTTAATGGTTGTGGTGTTTCTGTCCATGTAAACTGAATTTCCCTGGAAACCTCTGGTGTCGATAGTTCTTTTTCGTTGTTTGACTCCATTATTTTCCTAGTCTGTTTGTATATGGTTCCTCCTAAGACGTGTTGCATGATTTATTTAAATAAGTTATTTAATTACACAAATACATACAAACAAGTAAATATGTTTATAAACCAATATATAATTTCATCAATTCTAATTCATGTTCGTTCATTCATAGTCACCCAGGCATACCAAGAAAGTATTCAATATCTTGTATTCAGCTTTATAGTTGTAAAAGGTGATATATTAAAAGCCATTCAAATTTACGGTAGTCCTATAAATTGCGTATTTTTCACACATCACGTGATGAGTTCGATGATTTGTCTCCAGTGTGATAATAAATCAATCGAATTACAAAACGTCAATAAACGAAAGAAAAAGTCACTTTGAGCATCAAGAGATTTCCTATGATAACTGGTATAATATTTCACAGCAATAGTCCAATAATACTAATAATATTCAAAAGGAACACATTTCCCAGTGACTAGTAAACAGTAGTGGTGATTTTACGTTTCACATACATGAGGGTAGTTGACCTTTACCATTTTGTATTGTCTCGTATAATTTGCCCTGAGTAGTTTGACGTTTTCGTCCATTAACGTGCATTAGTTTGACTAAAATAACGGGTTGTCATTTTGTAATTTTCGACAGTAATTCATATCGATCTCGTTAAAAGGAACACATTTCTAACCTGAGAACAAATTCTGTTACCTTATTACATTTGAACTGATCATAAAGATTTTCAAAATAAACAAAAATGTTAAACGAACATGTTTACAATACTATGAATGTTATTGGATTTAATATAAGATAAAGAAATTGTGACATGAAATGACAGTTTATTCAAGTATAGACTGTTCTTTTTTAATCAAATAAACTTGGCAAATTAAATCTTTTGTTAGTTTCATTGATATTATAGCATGAGTTAAAACATCATGAGGGAAGATATATCCATCGGTGCAGTTTGATGTAGTTCGATAACGCGAGTGAAATACTTTTTAACCAGCTATAATTTCATATTTAGATATTATACCTAACGTGATCATCACCGTGATTTTGAAAAAGATTATCATTGTGAAGTCTTGTTTGTTGGCACCGTTTATAACAGAACCTAGAAAAAAAACTAGATAGTAGTGTCAGTGGCATTTCTACGATAAATAGTGCATAATAAGACTTGTTTCAGAATGATAGGGTAAGGATACAAGTAAAATCATGCCTTTTCAATGAGTTTGAAGCAGCGTAGATTAAACGATGAAAATACGTGAGTATTGGTGAGCCAATAAAGAGAGACAAACAATTCTTGATACTTGGAAACAAAGGAATTCCATAGCAAGCTTACAAAGAAAATGTATAAAACTCACTAAGAAATTAATTCGTTTGATGATTAGAATTCTTGAAGCATTGCGACATATAAGAAATAATTGTACATTCATATTTACATGGTATGCATCAATGTCTAACGGTGGAAAACAAACCAACATATCAAAAACGGAAAATAAGATGAGAAAGTGAAAGTATCTAAGAGTTGAAAACAATTTATTCATGCAAACATGGTATGCAAGATACCTGAACCAATTAAAGGACCAATTATCTAAATAATTATTATTTTCTTTAAAAACTTCCTCGTGCAAATATTGAATTTAGACCAATAAGGACATGAATGAAACTACATGTATATACCTGCAACATACCTGGGGTTTCAATCGATCAATAGTGTAACATTTAGTCATACAAAGACTTGTGGCTCTTAGACCAGAGACGCCGAGTCAAAATTATACGAGATAGAATGGTTTGACACGATAATGTTTTTGACCGGAATCGAAATATGAATTTGAAAAACGTAGGAGAGAACGTAAATGTTAGAAATTATTTGATAGTGGATATTTTTTTTTGGTCCTCAAAAAGATTGAAAAATGTGCATACGTTTTAGATGCCATCAAAAGATAAGACGCTGACTTTCTTCTCCGACTTAAAAAAGTTGCCTTATACCAATAAGAGCTTGAAAGGAAATACATTTTTAACTCCGTTTGACAAAAACTACCGCAAAAGACTTGCATCACAATCAAAGCCAATGCGAAAAGCAAGTAATGTAAACAAAGAAGGACCAAAATCATACGACAAAGGAAGAAAAACAACAACATGGCACAAAAAAGACGAAAAGACAAATAGCTATCCTTAAACAGTACATAACAAACCAACAATTTATCAACATGAACCCAAAATAAAAGACGGTGTGAACCCAGATGTTAGAATGGTTAGCAGTTTCAGCTCCAATTGAGATCCTCTATGTATGTTAAAATCTGATAAGTAATAGAGACAACAAAGCCATACTAGATTTGAAAATATCTTTTGATACATAATTCATAAACCCTCCGTACATGAAGTTTATGAAGACAAAAGATAGAAGCGATTATAAAACACAGAAGCTCAAACTTTGTTATTATTATTATACATTATTTATAAAGCGCGTTATCTAATGAAATATTATTCCAGGCTAAGCGCTTTACACACAAAAACAAAATAATTTCAATACACTAACAAAAATATGGTAAAAATGACATAAAATAGGAATTAACAAGAATCTGTGCCCGCTTGTGCTATATTTCTATGCTCAGTGAACCGTGAAAATCGGGATCAAAACCACTTTAGGTGCATTATTAAAATATTTGTTTACCTGATACTTACTCGTACTGTATTTTTTGACATAAAACTATAACTTATAATGAACATTTGTACCAGGATTTAAGTCACTGTAACCACAACGTCACTACCGGACGGACGGACTGATGCAGAGACGTAATGCCCCCTACAATTACAGAATTAGATTAAATTACATAGACAAAAAACCTTCAAACTGTTATAATCATAAGCTTGAATATTTTAAATATGTTGCAACTTAGTCAGTATAGTAAGCTTTACACTGCCCCTGGATAATAGGATATGAACAAAAAAAGAAAGATAACAGTGGTTTCGATTCACCATTTTTTTATTTCATCCTTTTGGTCTTATTTGAGTCATCCAATGGTCACTACCTGTCACGTGAATAATACCCCACCGTTTGACCCGCGGCTAAACATATATTCAACCCCCCTTAAATGCTCACTGTAAACAACATACAACTGACTTCAAATGCTTACTGTAAACAACATACTACTGACTTCAAATGCTTACTGTAAACAACATACTACTGACTTCAAATGCTTACTGTAAACAACAAACTACTGACTTCAAATGCTTACTGTAAACAACATACTACTGACTTCAAATGCTTACTGTAAACAACAAACTACTGACTTCAAATGCTTACTGTAAACAACATACTACTGACTTCAAATGCTTACTGTAAACAACAAACTACTGACTTCAAATGCTTACTGTAAACAACATACTACTGACTTCAAATGCTTACTGTTAACAACAAACTACTGACTTCAAATGCTTACTGTAAACAACAAACTACTGACTTCAAATGCTTACTGTAAACAACATACTACTGACTTCAAATGCTTACTGTAAACAACATACTACTGACTTCAAATGCTTACTGTAAACAACAAACTACTGACTTCAAATGCTTACTGTAAATAACATACTACTGACTTCAAATGCTTACTGTAAATAACAAACTACTGACTTCAAATTCTTACTGTAAATAACATACTACTGACTTCAAATTCTTACTGTAAATAACATACTACTGACTTCAAATGCTTACTGTAAACAACAAACTACTGACTTCAAATGCTTACTGTAAACAACATACTACTGACTTCAAATGCTTACTGTAAACAACAAACTACTGACTTCAAATGCTTACTGTAAATAACATACTACTGACTTCAAATGCTTACTGTAAATAACAAACTACTGACTTCAAATTCTTACTGTAAATAACATACTACTGACTTCAAATGCTTACTGTAAACAACAAACTACTGACTTGTACTTTTCAATTGAGACGCCAAAATTTATATATTTAGTTCAAAAGTCTAATCCGGCAAAAGTCAAGAATGTCAAAGATTCCAGTCAAGGTTTTGCACTTTTCCTACAGTGATGTTCCTGTAAATTGACAAGGAAAGAAGTTCAATGTTCTGTACAATAAGATACACTCGATTAAATAGGAATAGTAAAGAATTTGACTTTTAAGGGAAAAGGATGTATTTACTGCAATAGTTTGACCTAATATATCTTGATAAGCTTATTATTCAGAATTTTTGTAACGTGTCCGCAGGTGGCCAGCTGCATCTTACTGTATTCACCAAATGGTCCTTTTGTTACATGAACGCTTGACAACTGCTTTCTGCCAGAAGCAAATAAAAGTACAAAACCACACAGGTGTATGCTTTCACGAAATTAAGGATGAATTAATCACAAAAATTAATGTATATGAAAAAAGTTAACAACTGTAATATTGTGTTTGATTGATAGATTTGATGCGCCATGTTGAGTCTGGTGGTGAACGTGTCATATAATTATTTTTTTTTATAATTTAAAGGCCATAAAGAGTACATTTAACTTAATATTGGATAGTTTTATGTAACGTGGTGACATCTACATCACACTTTTCTGTGACTTTCGACATTCCGTTTCAACCATAAGATACGATTACAGTAATTAAAAGTATCACATTGTTCTTACAACTAGAACTAAAGCAATGACAAAATATCCCATTGCTCTACTTGTTTACAACTAGAACTAAAGCAATGACAAAATATCCCATTGCTCTACTTGTTTACAACTAGAACTAAAGTAATGACAAAATATCCCATTGCTCTACTTGTTACAACTAGAACTAAAGCAATGACAAAATATCACATTGCTCTACTTGTTACAACTCGAACTATAGCAAGGACAGTCATACATCCTTTACTTTTTAATGGCTCGATTAACAGATATATTAGGAGGAATTTGCACTTAAATTTTAATAACTATTTTGTTTATGTACTTTAAGGTTTTGCATTTACCTCCATGACATGAACATCAACAACCCTACACACAATATCATCTCATTTAGATCAAATGTAACCGAAATGATGATACTATCAATATAAATAATCCACAATACCTCAAATCTGTTTAGGAAAACCTTTGTGTGTAATACCATTGAACTGTACTGACACTAAACAAGAAAAGTCAATACTCACAAAACCCAGCATTTTATTCACCTATATCATTTTTTTCATCTTATTGTGTTGTCTCCATTCTCCAGGTTTATTTAGCATTACTTTTCATTTAGAATACAACAGAAATACAAATTGAATAGAGCTACAACAAATAGCTACATTATAATTCACATTTTTAGTTTTAACACATAAATAAATTAACATTTTTTTCTCCACTACTTTAATACAAATATCTAAAAATATTATCGGGCAAAGGTTACAGTTTTGATAAAATGTGATGGGCGTCAAGTAGTATATTTAGGCGTCAAATCATGGACGAATTTCGCTACTTGATTTCTTCCCTTAATTAACGAAAATAAAATTTCAAAACGTGTCTATTAACTGTATTTCACTCGTTTTCCTTTGATCGCTTGTGATTTTTTTATATCAAATTATTACGATAACGATCAATTTGGCAAATATGTGCTTGTCAACCGCTTAATGCTAGTCTAACATTAATTAAGACAAGTATAAAATATAAGTTGATAAACAGGAAAGCCAAAATAACCCACTCCCTGTACTATTTAACTCTTTTGAATACCAGTATAAAGACTTTCGCTAAGTATATATATCTGAATGCGAAATAGTTCGACTTTTATTCTCGTTATTCCCAGGAGTTAAAGTACGTTTTATATTTTCCCTTTTTGTTTTAAATTGTACAATGAAAGGTTTCTGTTTCATTGAGATATCCCCTAATATATATCTCCTGGTATTCATAATTATACGAGGTTAGATAGAATCTTTAAACAATTAACTAAAAACTTAAACACGACGTTCTGAACGATTGATTGCATATATACTATAGGGAAAACTTATGGGAAAAAATGACAAAGATGAAAACCTTACGTCCAAGAAAAAAAAGACAACATCATGTCAAAAGAAAATAGACGAACAAACAAAAAGTCCACAAGACAATACTCAAAAGGATAGATAAACACGTACCTCATCAAACATCCGGGGTGAACTAAGGTGCTCCAGAAAGGTAAGCAGTTCGAAAAAGCCAATTCCCACATTCATAAAAACAACACTTTCATATATACATTTTGAAAAGGTGTCTTAAAGGAGACAACTTTCGTCCTGAACATGCATGAGATATTTACCACTGGGCGTTAAGCAAACAACAATCCGTCATTTAAAGGAGACAATGCAGTTAAGATTTTAAGACAGATGAAAGACTATAATATATAAACAAATTCAAATAATAAGATGTTTGAGGTAATATCAAAATAAAGTTATTGTAAAGTTCTTTGCGAAACGCGGAGAATGTACAAAGCATTTAGTAGTTACAACAGAGGAATTTAAGCATAGTGAGATATCATATATTAAAAAGATTTGTTTTTCATAAATATACCGGCACTACTTAAAGTCACGTCAAACACTATGCGGTATGGGTTTTGTTCATTGTCAAAGGCCGTGCATTGACCTATAAATGCTCACATCCACGTCATTTGAACTCTGGTGGATAGTTGTCTTATTTGCAATCACTGGTAATATATCTTACTAAATAATAGTTCGACATATGCAGCTGGAACAAAAAACAACCTGAAGCACAAAATGGCCGAAGTTATCTAAAGAATACAAATATGCCTGGCCAGGTGATGTCGTTATTCTGCATTGCATTTTGTATATTTGTATATTTGTATATTTGTATATTTGTATATTTGAAATGTAAAAACAAGAATCAAAGTTTAAAAAATATTAAAGCGGAATTTGGAACATTTTACTCTAATCGGGAATGGCCAGAACTATAATTTTAGAATTCCAAGTAATGTATAAATACATTGGATGCATTAAAACATAAATGAAGTGTAAAGGAATATCTAATTACACCCTTAGTCAGTCAGTGAAGACTAGAAGACTGCAGATAAGATATGTCCCGAGACAACTAGAGGAAATATGATGCACAATTCAACACTACTACAAATACTTGTGCATATCTACCAACCGACAACACTTATAACTATGTGGTAATGAGAGTCTCAAACTTACTATTTGAACGCGTGAGTTTGATAAGTGACCTTGATACCTGTTTCAGTGATATATTATAAGGTTGACTGACCAAAAGTTTGGGAAGTCAATTTCAATATTTTTTAAAGAGACTACAAAATTATGAAAATATATTTCTCACAAGGTAGATAGATACAGTAGTAATTAGTAGCTTATCCGAGTGAAATAATTTTCCCCTTCTACCAATAAATTTCATATTTATTATAAAAAAATATCGAGCCTTCTTCAATTGTAACTTCACTCAGCGAGAAGCAACTAGCTGTTGAAAGAATAATTGTATGGTTTCACTTTGTCAAAGAAATAACGGAGTAGTTCCTTTTACAGAAATTTTCGCTCTGTCAAGAAAAAAACTCAACTGAGCAAAAGTCCTTGATTTGCTAAATATCTGAATTATAAACACCATATGCAAGAGTACGGAAGCCGGTTAGTGTCAGGGTGGAATTTTATTTTAAAGTCGTTATAACGACTAAGCTAACTTGTTATAACGACTTAGCTAACTTGTTATAACGACTTATCTTATCTAACTCGTTATTGCAACTAAGCTAATTCGTTATAACGACTTAGCAAACTCGTTTAAACAACTTAGCTAACGTGTTTAAACAACTTACCTAACTCGTTTAAACGACTTAGCTAACTCGTTATAACGACTTAGCTTATCTAACTCGTTATAATAACTTAGATAACTTGTTATAACGACTTAGCTAACTCGTTTAAACAACTTAGCTAACTCGTTTATACAACTTAACTTACTTGTTAAAACGAGCTTAGTTGTTATAACGAGTTAGTTAAGTTGTTTAAACGAGTTAGATAAGTTGTTATAACGAGTTAGATTAGCTAAGTCGTTATAACGAGTTAGCTAAGTAGTTTAAACGCGTTAGCTAAGTCGTTTAACCGAGTTAGCTAAGTCGTTTAAACGAGTTCGCTAGGTCGTTTTAATGAGTTAACTAAGTCGTTAAAACGAGTTAGCTAAGTCGTTAAAACAAGTTAGCTAAGTTGTTATAACGAGTTAGATAAGCTAAGTTATAACGACTTAAAAATAAAACTCCACTATGACACTTACCGGCTTGTGTACAAGAGAGATTAGTATATTACTGCAAAAAATAATGATTAAGTCGATGCTGGGGGAATTCAATTCATTTTAAAAACATTTCACACCTTAATTGCGCTCAAGCGGTTAGCGAAAATGTAATCTAAAGTCACCTGAATTAAACTTAGTTGATTTCTGTAATTTTGTTTCACTTCAAGTGAAGGTTCTATAACAATTTAAATAAGTTTTTCGAAGTTTGAGAGAGAGAAAAAATAGGTAATACCTGATTAAAAAAAATCCTTTACACATTTACAATTTAATTTGATATAATTTTACCTTTTACGTCTACCCAATTAGTATATCTTGATACATTCACTGTTTATCCTTTGATAATTTTTAAAGTGATACATATTGGAATTAAATCCAAATAACTTGGGTTGGCAATTTTCATATTTTGTATGTAATGATCGGCTCTCTGACTTTCCAAGGCCAAATCGCGGTAAAGCCGATGGGACTGGAGGGGACAGATTACATAATAATGCTAGCACTTAGACGTATACACTTGGAACTGTGATACAGAAAATAAAGACTAGCTCGGTAGCTAATAAGTGCAGGGACAGTGACCTTACAGTGGCGAATCCAGGGGGGGGGGGGGGGTCCGGGGGTTGGAACCCCCCCTTTTTTTGACGATCAATGCATTTGAATGGGGACATATAGTTGGAACCCCCCCCCCCCCCTTTTATCGTGGGTTAGGACCCCCCTTCTATAAATGGCTGGATCCGCCCCTGCCTTATATATCTGAAATATGTAGTGTCATATAAAAAGAACCAGATATGTGTGGAAAACGGTTAAAGTGTGAAAGAGGGAAATGTTTGACTGCATTTATTCACTTCATTTACAAGACAGGAGTTTGAAAATGATATAACTAAACTATAGGTCTTTTAAATATTTTAGTAAATACCTACATATATATAGTAACATAATATAAGCATATTATGTTTTCCGTTCAGGGTCATTAAATATCACCTGTCAAGAGTTTTTACAGTATATTTTGCAGATTTGAAAACCGTATTTTAAAAGGTACTTAATTATTGGCAAATTTTGGTCAATGGCTTCTTTCCTTGAGGAAGTAATTTAATAGCATATATTCAGAAATCTGTCTGGATCTAAGGAAATAGTGCATATATATAAAAACAAGTGATTAAATCCTTAAACGGTTATAAGCAGGAGTGTTTCCGGCTTACATGCGTGTGTATGTACTATACCGTTAAAGTTTGATGAGATATTAATAAGGAAGACACAGCTACGTATCAGTTTCTACTCATCATTTTTACGCGTGACATAGAATCATTGTTCCATGAACATTACTATTTGAATTAATTTGTTATTACGAAGGTGAGAAATGGATTCATTTGTAAAAACAGAGGTAGGGTGACAATCTAAAACTGTAATGAACTTGTATTCTTTCTCACAATTATGTGATATTTGGAACTATCAGCTGTGGTTATTTTACCTATGATTTAAATTTTGATAGTAATTTAACAAAGTTATGCGTTTTTACATTGATTTAAACTTATAACCGAGATTTTAAACGGTATTAAAAATAAGGATGTAATTAGTGACAGAAGATACTAGTTTCTATAAATCGTTTCTCAGAAACTGTATTCTACAGAGTGAAAATATTGACAAAATATTAAGTTATAGTCATTTAACTGACTTGATACGAAGAGGATGAATCAATCGTGGGGATATGAAGAAGGAGTGTATAGTCTCCAAGAGATATGCTATAAACATCCTCCTCCAGTGGTTGTCCAGTGTGATATAGCAAGTTCAGAGGTTACAGCTGAAAGCGCTTCTTTCGATTTTTCACAACCATTACTTATATATAGGCAGAGGAATATTAACAAGATAAATGCTCAAAATGTTCAGAGGGATTTATTTAGAGAGACGGGACCTCCTCTTGTTATACCAGAGGATTATAAAGGTGAGATATTATTTTAAAAATGGGGAGTACTAGAAATGTATAGAATCTCTTTTTAATTCTAATAAGGGTATTTGAATGGTAGGTTTGTAACTCAAGTGATAAACTTGGCAAAGAAGGCAGGACATCTCTTTGTATTCAGACAGATCAAATGGTAATTTATGTTATGCCAAGATGTCTTTTTTTGTTTTCAGACAAGTTATATGGCAATATAGTTGTTATGCTAAAATATCTTTTTGTTTTCAGACAAGTTATACAAAAATCGTTGTTATAAAAATGAGAAGATGCGTTATAATTGCCAATGAGACAACTATCCACCAGAGATCAAATGACGTATAGAAGGTACGCAGCTACAGGTCACCACATGGTCTTCAACGATTAGCAAACCACATACTGCATAGTCAGCTATAAAAAGGCCCCGAAATGACAAATGTAAAACAATTCAAATGAGGAAACTAACGACCTGATTTATGTACAAAATAATGAACGAAAAACGAATATGGTAAACAGCAGCAAACGACAACCACTGAATTACAAGCTACTGACTTGGGACAGGCACATATACATAATGTATCGGGGTTAACTTGTTTGCGGGCGCGCCAACCTTTCCCGAACTTAGGACAGTGGTGTAACTGCACAACATTAACACAAGAACAAACTATAAAAATCAGTTGGAAAAGGCTTAACTCATCAGGTCGATACGAAGCACAAAAGTAACTATAACAAAAACACAAAAGACACAAAGTGCAGATTTGAGAGTACTCGCAGTTACTGAGAGATAGTTCTTTCAATATATAATTTTCTCACGAAGGAGCATTTGAAAACAGCATAGACGTGATGTGTAACATGTTGAAAACATGTCCCTCGTGTTAACATTCAAATTTACCCCATAAACGTTCATCAATTCTAATTGGTAGCCGTAAAATGGCAGCAAGAATGATACATTTTCGGTTGAATAACGAAACAGCATGTTAATCAAAAAAGAAAGGAGTAATAGGGGATGTTTAGTAAACGCTATTGAGACATAAACAACACAGATAGTCATTACTTCCTCATATATATCAGTATAAGTAGGGATTGCACAAGACTTGAGGATTCGTTCCAATGCGGAAGAGGTAAAAAGGGCAAAATATATGAAATCCCATGCATAACGTTTTCTTTCATTTAACATTTAGCTGTACTATAATATGTTTAAAACAATGATACACATGCTTTCTGGAAAATATCGTACGAGAACAAATTAATTCAAACTCATTATTTTTTATCAGGATTTGTATCAGGATTTTTTTGGGATTGGGGATGGAGTGAGATGGGGAGGGTGGTGAATTGAGAAATTGGAAATGATAATTTATTGACTGTTCATCTTTGATTATAGGATGTTGTTAATAGTATAAATGTTTATTGTCTAAAATGCGAACCTGTCGTAAATAAATTATATAGAGATAAGCTGTGATAGTCAGTCGACAATTTGGCATATATACGGTACGGGTTTTTGCTCATTGTCAAAGGCCGTACGGTGACGTATAAATTCCGCGTCCTATGGTCTCTGGAGGATAGTCGTCTCTTTGGAAATAATACCACATATCATTAACATCCGAAGTTATTAGCTTTTAAAAAATATAAATCATACAAAAATATTTGATCAAGTTTTATATATATTTGTAAATAAAAAAATCTTTTAAAACCTCTGTAATATGCATGGTATACAGAATCTAGAAATAACCAATTATAATGCTGTCAAAATATATTAATTTCTTTGATATCGATTTGGGAGATTAATGACCATCCTTTATTGTAATGTAGCAAAATAATAATTTTAAATTTAAACAGTAGATGAACAAACCAAATTAATTGTATAAATAAGCAATATTGCGTTCTTTGTACTTTTGAAGCTTTTAAGTAGTTTAATTATTACTTCTCTGAATAGGAAAACAATACTTAATTGAATACCACTTATTTTGAAAAATTGAGAAACATTGTCCATGGCGTGTTAATATTTTATTATTCATATTTCTATTGATTGTTTTTTTTTTGTGTCTTTTGATGTATTAAAGTTAACGTATCTACAAAACATTTAAATTTTTCGTGATCTTAACGTAAACTATGTTATCATATGGAATAATTTCCTTAATCATGACCTAATCCAGGTAAAATTCCCTCTGTAATTTTTTATCGTTTCCTAACACTTCATGGTGACAACAATTACAGACTGGCATTTGTCCTTTGTGACAATAACTAACCTGTTTATAAATAATCCGGAGAAGGAAGAAATTATTAACTTAAACAAAACTCTCTTCAATATTTAGTTTAATACTACTTTCTAATCTTTATAATAACCTATGACCCAGAAGAGTAAGATAAATGAAACCTCTAATCTTTATAATAATCTATGACCGGGAAGAGTAAGATAAATGAAACCTCTAATAGATCCACATTTTTTCCTAAACTGTACTTTCATCCTCCAATAATTTCCTACCAACCCTTATTTTCTTATGCAATTAACACCTTGTAATAAATGTCACCCTTTTCGGTCCTGACGTCTGCTCTTTAGCTCTACGAATAATAGCTTGATTCAGATCATTTGAAATCTGGAGTTTTAGAAACACGCTTGCACAGCAAGGGTTGCTTTCATTGTCCGGAGTTCACGCAGTCCCCGAGAGTTGACTTCCAATTTTTCTCTCCGTGGACTTGCCAGTGTGCTTGTGCTTTTGTGACTTCGGTATACATCTTATTAGGTTTGCTATACTAATTAAGTCATCTGTCTGTACTGTCACTAGTCACCAGTTTGGAGCATCAACACCAGAATTACATTCATCTTTTATTTAAATGGATTGTGTGGGTGTTTTGGTTGTTATTTTTTGTTCTTTTCTTAATTCAATTTCTTATGGTTTTCCTACATCCAAACTGAAGAATGTTCAAAATAATCGAAGTGACATTAAAACGTATTCTGGACTAAATAATACTTATTAGGTTTATTTGTCAATGTATCCACATCTGAGTACTTTGAATAAACAGATGAGAATGTATATTTTCTATATGTATAATTAATTTAAACACGACTATCCTGGATACATTACCACACCGATCTTCATAACAAAACACGTTTTATTTCAATGTTAAGGTTGTTGCTCAACAGACACGTAAATATATAAAATCATGTTACAATAGTGACAGGAGAGAAATTCATACCTTCTTTAGTGAAAAGACATTATATTCATTTTATATGTTCTTGTACTTTTCTCGTTCATAAGATGAATAAGATTTTTTAAAAAGCGTATTATAGTGTCAATTTCACCCTATAACTTTGATGGAATGTTAAGATTAAAAGTACAAATCAATAAACGTTTTCAAATCAGTTTTAATAATTTGTATTATTGGTTTCAATTTAAAGAAAAGATTGCATACATTTGTGTGAATGGATATGATCTACACAAACTATCCTTTAAATCTAGTCAACGAAAATTAGTTGATCCCACTATATCAAAAGTTTAATTTTAAAATGGCAAGTTGACAACGATAGGTTATATCACCAGACGTAAGAATATAGCTGGGTTAACCACTTAAAATAAGAGGAAAAAAATCACGGTATATATATAGTTTTGTAAACAGAAAATAACCATTAATATATTGTTTGCAATAATGAAAAAATAAAACTGAATTAATCTAAAATACACGAGTAGATAAATCGTTAAAAGGACAATAAAAACAGAAACTAGCCTTGTTTAAAAAAAAGAAGGTTATATTAGATGATGAAAAGGAGTTGACATCAATGAGACAGCAACCCAACGACACAAAACGAAACAAATAACAATCTAGATATCACGATACAGGTTTAAAAATCGACAAGTGAATGAATATGATCTACACAAACTATCATCTAACTCTAGTCAACGAAAACTAGTTGATCCCACTATATCAAGGTTTAATTTTAAACTATATCATTGAAATCTGACACATCACTACAAATATCGTACTAAACAAACAAGCCTGAGACATTACTACAAATATCGTACTAAACAAACAAGCCTGAGACATCACTACAAATATCGTACTAAACAAACAAGCCTGAGACATCACAACAAATATCGTACTAAACAAACAAGCCTGAGACATCACTACAAATATCGTACTAAACAAACAAGCCTGAGACATCACTACAAATATCGTACTGAACAAACAAGCCTGAGACATCACAACAAATATCGTACTAAACAAACAAGCCTGAGACATCACTACAAGTATCGTACTAAACAAACAAGCATGAGACGTCACTACAAATGTCGTACTAAACTAACAAGCCTTATATCGTACTAAACAAACAAGCCTGAGACATCACTACAAATATCGTACTAAACAAACAAGCCTGAGACATCACAACAAATATCTTACTAAACAAACAAGCCTGAGACATCACTACAAATATCGTACTAAACAAACAAGCCTGAGACATCACTGCAAATATCGTTCTAAACAAACAAGCCTGAGACATCATTACAAATATCGTACTAAACAAACAAGCCTGAGACATCACTACAAATGTCGTACTAAACAAACAAGCCTGAGACATCACAACAAATATCGTACTAAACAAACAAGCCTGAGACATCACTACAAATATCGTACTAAACAAACAAGCCTGAGACGTCACTACAAATATCGTACTAAACAAACAAGCCTGAGACATCACTTCAAATATCGTCTTAAACAAACAAGCCTGAGACATCACTACAAATATCGTACTAAACAAACAAGCCTGAGACATCACTGCAAATATCGTACTAAATAAACAAGCCTGAGACGTCACTACAAATGTCGTACTAAACAAACAAGCCTGAGACATCACAACAAATATTGTACTAAACAAACAAGCCTGAGACATCACAACACATATCGTACTGAACAAACAAGCCTGAGACATCACTACAAATATCGTACTAAACAAACAAGCGCAAATCGAACCAGCCGAGAAATGCACTCCAGGACTAGGAACAAACATCAGCATCAAGGCAAGAAAAAGTCGTCTTGGTTAATCCAGCTATATTCTTACGTCTGGTGCTAGAAACTATCGTTGTCAACTTGCCATTTTTAAATTAAACCTTGATATAGTGGGATCAACATTTTTTTATGTTGACTACTGAGGTTTAACGGATAGTATGTGTAGATCATATCCTTTCACTGGTATTTTTTAAACCTGTATCATGATATCTAGATCGTTATTTTTTTCGTCGGGTTGCTGTCTCATTGATGTCAACTCCTTTTATTCATCTTATATAACCATTATTTTTTTAAGAAACAAAGCTAGTTTCTGTTTTCATTGTCTATCCAATATGTCAAGTCCTAAATTGATCGGAGTCAGTTGTGAATATATGCCGTCTTACACTCTAATATCGGTGACCGTATTCGGAATAGATTTTAAACAGAAAGAACACAGACAGTACAGGGAGACACGATCTTGTTAAATGCACGGAGTATATTTTTTAACAATTTCCTTGCAGACAACATTGAAGAAACACGTCTTGTTTAAATGGTTAATAAGAAATTAAATTTTACCGCCCCATCCCCCAACAAATACAAAAAAAAAACCAAATAAATAAATAATAAACTACGTATCGGTTGAGCAAAAACCGTATAATTATAACCTTATTTATAAGTCTATTAAGCCCAAACAATTAGATTTAAATAATTCTTAAACTTATTATAGTCTTATAACTAATTAAAATGATGTAAGAAGGAGCAAACGGAACATCAGCATCATGGCAAGGAAGGTCGTCTTGTTTGTAATTAATTTTGGTATGAGGATTACCTTGAGAAGTTCTAATGTCAAGGTGTAAAAATGACAACTGTCGCCTTTACATAAATTGTTGGATTTAGTCATAATTTAAAATGTCAAGTAACAGTAAATGGGATATGTCACAGATTTTGTTAACATTTTGCATACAACTTTGGCTTGTTAAACTTTAACTGAAAATTAAAAAATAATGAAGTTATCTCTTTTATTTTCTGAAATATTAGTGATTGATTTTTTTTTCAAAATAGGTGAACACTTGTTGTATGGAAAGCACATAAAATCGGCGAAAAACGTTCTTAAATTTGTCTTAAATTCATCAAATCTCCAATTTCAAATCCATAGATTCATAAAAAAAACTGTTTTAATGATGTATAATAATAATAGGGTAATCGACTTCGTCTTTGTTGCATTAGCCAATCTGTTACCTAATTGGTATTGAAAAATGCAACGATCGACGTTTTACAACCGGTCTACAACGCGATGACTTATGATTATTTCGACGTTTTGTGGTATTTTTTCACCTAAAATGATGTATATTGTTAAAACGAATTCAATCAAATGCAAGGAAGAGCTGGGGAAATCGACTACTGAGTGGAAGTAAATTTTTTTGACACACTTATTGTTTGGTTAAAAGTTTCATCCTTTTCGTCTTTCATTGTTCAGTATGATATTTACCATTGGTTGCTTGGTGGTTATATCCATCACCTATGTTTATTTGTTTATTTAGTATTTTTATTTCTACAATAGCTATTATTTTTTTTATATAACTGACCACTCATTTTCCTTTTTAAAATAGGATGGTTTGCAGTTCTACAGAAAAAGCGCATAAATCCAGCTACATTAGGGCACAACGTTATGGAGTACAAACTAGTGTCTGACCTTTCGAATTCTGATACACAGACGTTTCTTATTGGTGGGTCAGAGCAAGTGCACGCATTCCAAGTATCGATCAGTTGTGATGGAAAAACTCAGCACCAACAGCGAAGTCTATTCCCTGGCGAAGTTTTACGTAAAGGTAAAATATATGTTGGAGAAAGTAGGCGTAAATCTGGTTTATTTCGAAGATCCAAATTAAAACAGGAATACTACTTGTTATGCACTGATGAATGTGAACGAGAAATATTACTTCCGTTCAACCAAAAAGGTTTATTTTATACATTAACGACCCAGAGCGGTCGAATGCCTTGTCCTGTCTTACACATGAAAGATATACTTGATAAAAAGTACCTACCAGCCACCACCAAACTGCTTTTTGGAAGAGTGCCTATTGTGGAATGTGGATTTACTGGAATATTACGTCTTGAACACTCACATTTTGAAAGATCAGTTATTGCATGTACAACTTCCGAGAAGAATACCTTTGTCGAATTACCGATAAATTGCTCTTTGAAATTCCGAATATTTGAAATGAACGATGATGTAGTTCAATCAGATATATATAAACGTGCTTTTGCTTTGTGTAATGAGAAAGCATATTTGTACATGAGTGGAATCAAAGTATATCATAGTATAGACGAAACAGTCTTATTAGAGGATGAAGTAGCAAATGATATGCCACCCAGCCCTCATATTTTGAGGACGAAAAAACCAGCCGATCCCTCTGCAGACGACAATAGAGAGTCTGGTTATATCGAAATGAGGGATAGTTTGGAATTTACAGAGGAAGCGTCCTATATTGACATGAGGGATAGTCTCTCATGTAGCAGTTCGATTTCAATAGATTTCGATGAAATGGATTATGTGCTTCCGAGCGGTAGAAACATTTTACATGATTCTCTTCGAAGAAGTAGTTCAAAGGATAATAGTAAAACAAATACTTTGACGAAGCATCAGTCAAACCGTTCTCCGCCACCGTCGTGTTCTCCACCTCCATTACCAACAGCATGTGCTGGACCGCCAGATCACGCGTATCTTGACCTGGATAGTGGTATATCTGATGGAATACCTTCAAATACTTCACATGACCGTGCAAGTGTTCGAATTGAAAGGGTACATTCTGATAAAATTTACGATATACCCCGCATTCCTAGACGTCTCAGTGCACCAGAACCGATTGACATGTACTCTATGAGAATTAAGAGACCAACATCTTTAGATATACTGCCTGAGGCTAATTCAGGAGAGGCCATTAAATACGAAAATTTTTCAATATTGCGAGAAGTTGTGCCAAAACCATGTGGCATTTTAAGGCCAGGACAGAATCGAAAACCATTGGAACCTATTTATAGTGATGTTCCTAGTAACACAGCAATACACCATGTACTAGAACAAGAAGAACATTTAAATGTCTTACAAGACATTGATACAGAAACAATAACTACTGCGGTCGAAACAGAAATACCACCTGTAACACAAGATTTCAACAAAAATAACTGTGACGTAAAAACTGAAGACGCAATTGAAAATGAAACGAAAACTTTTGTCTCAGCTAATGTTGAGTCTGAAGTGCCAAACTGTCATGACGATGAAAAAAAGACTTCAGCATTAAATAAGGAAATAAATGTGCCACACTGTCAGTACGATGAAAATACTTCAGAATTTAATGAGGAAATAGATGTGCCACAATGTGAGAACGATGAAAATACTTCAGCATTAAATGAGGAAATAGATGTGCCACAATGCCAGGACGATAAAGAGTTGTCAGCATTAAATAAGGAAATTGACGAGGAGCACTGTCAGGACGATAAAGAGGTGTTACCATCAAATGAGGGAACAGATATTTCTTCTCCAAACAAAGCTGCTGCTCGAGAAAAACAATTCGGAACAGATGAAAATGAACAATTGGAAGAAAATGGTTCATTTTGTACGAGTGAAATTAGTGATCAGATATTAGAACAGTGTGATGAAATACGAACAAATATTGACACTAAGCATAATCAACAGACATCGGATAATGAAAGTCTGTACACTGAACAATCAACCAGGATTGATGAAGTCATATTATTAGAATCTACACCTACAGTAACTGAACTCATTTCAAGTGATCAGTATGCGCATGCACCATTTGATGACATCAAAATCAATCCAGACACAAAGAACTGCAATACTGATAGGTGCGAAAATGAAAAAGAAGAAATAAACGCTTGCTCAAATCACACTAATATAACTAGTTTAACCGAGGACAGTGGAGTCAAATATTTGGAGGACAGAACGGGTAGTACGATCGAAAATAATACTTTAGATAAATTAGAATGTACACTTACTTATGATGAGAATAATATGTCTGAGCAACTAATTATGAGTCAAAGTCATGTTTGTCCTTCCACTCAAAACAACGGAAACGATATAGAACATCAAAGTGAAAACATTGCAAGTGTTCTTCAAGGACATGGTAGTGATAATTACATAAATGATCATATTCCCCCTTCAGAAAACGACAAAATATCAAAGAGCGATATGTCTGTCAACATCGTCTCACAAACCTCTAACACTGAGGAAAATTTACTTGAAACAAATAATGGAAAATTAACCATTGACGTATCTCATATATATGACGAAATACAAGCAACTGTTACTCCGCCACCATCAGCCTGTCTGGCTGAACCTTTATCAGGAACTGTGGGTGAAAATATTTTCCTAAAAACTAGTCCTCAGAATTCAGAACATAAACAAATCTCAAACGCCTATCATACAATGACTTCATCGTCAATACCAAATTCTGCCATGAATGAATTGAAAAGTGAAATTGACCTGTCTACAATTGATCCTAAATTTGACTCATATGCGGTTAAAGCATCAACATCCTTGATTGAAAATAGTGAACAAAAGAGTGCGCCTGTATCTGACAACATAAATGCTTCAAATGAGAACAAAATTTCTATGGGTAATGATACTGACACAGTTGTGACTCAGTTTGAGGATGATAAAGTTAAAGGTGAATTAAACACATCAATATGTTTAGAATCTGAAATGCAAAGTGCTGCAATGGTTGAAAAAACTAAAGGCGAGTGTCCAGATAATACACATGAAGAAACGTGTCAAACGCAGTCAATATTTCATGCAGAAATATTTTTTCAAGAAACAAAACTTTCAGACGATAAAGTGCAACAGCTACAACAAACTGAAAACGAGCAAATACATCTAAAAACGCTAACATCAGAGGAACAAAATAGTATCGTAGAAATAGTGAGGGACAATGTCCATACAATCAGACAATCAAAATACGGTGCTAGTCAGGAAACAAACGATGCAGAGAGAGAAACAGTGAGTTTGATTTATGAAAATATTCAAAGTTCAAAATCCTCGCATAATTCGTCGAAATCCGACAATGATAATATTATTTCAAATATTCACGAAGAGGTCTGCGACGAACACCTTGAAGATAAGAATGATGACAACTTGTTCAAAATTTCTACTTATGAAATCGTAGCTGGCTTTAGAAAACTTGGGATAAGGAAAAGTGTAATTGATATTGTGCAGCAACGCAGTCTTCAAGGATCAAACTTAAAAGATATTCAAAATCTTGGAGAAATTTTCCCTGGAATATCGTGCATTGACAAGCGAAAAATTAGTATGTTTTTGCAAGGCATGATGCAAAATTCTGATTCTTCGGGAAAACACAATTCGACAGAACCAATATGGGTTTAAACTGCATTTTAAATTTCGAATAAGTCAGAAATTACTGATTGTGATATCCATTTTGAGTTCCTATTGCAGACAATTAATTTGAATAGCCAATAAATGACAATCAGACAGTATTATAAAAGAATTATATATCATTATTCTTTGCTAACATTTGTTTTTTAGGAATAGACCGGATTCTTATACCAAAGAAACTTGTATTGTGTTTTGTGCGAGTTTTTTATTTTTTAATTTGAAATAATATGTGCTTGTACTATAGTACTGCTACATTTATATCTTAATAATGCTGTGTTTGTTTTATCTTCTTTTATTGTTTGTACGTTGGAAGTAAGTCTGTGTACGGTGTGTGTCTGTCTGTATGATCTGGTCCTCTTTGCAGTGTAAGTGGGTTCTGTTTGCATTGTAAGTGGGAACTTCAGAGGTACATGTGATATGTTCATGAAACATCATCAATTAACACACCGATATTTTAGCAAAGTGTATGCCAAAAGGATGATGTAACCTCGTTTTAATTGTTCATTTCAATGGTCATGATTCATGATTTGCGTTATGGCGAACAAAGAATGAGGCTATTGTTCAGGATTATTGTTGTTTGATGTCAAATACGAACTTATCATATTCATATATATTTTCAGTTTCTTTAAGTTTACAGTATTGTTTATAAGATAATGACTTATTCGAAAATATGGTTTTATTATCCTCAGGCAGAGACTGCTGGACAATTTCGTATTTGATTTGTCCTTCCAACTGTTTTGATTCGAGCGCCACCGAGTCTTCTGTAGACGAAACGCACGTCTGAAGTACCAAATTATAAGCCTTGCATATTTGATGAGATTTTACAACCAATGCTGGTGGACGTTTCATGGAATCACCAGCCCAGTAGTAAGCACTTTTGTGTTGACATGAAATGTCATTGAGATATTTATTTTCTGTAAATTAACTTTTTTTAAATATTGAATTACTCGAAACACTCAGGTTATTTTCTATTCCCATGCAAATATTGCTTTAGCCGTATTTCACATAACTTTTTTCGGAATTTTCTGTTTTAGTGCTCTTCAATTTCGTATTTGATTTTCGTATCCAACTTTTTTATATGAGCACAACTGATGAGTGTAGACGAAAATCGGGTCTTGGTGTACAAAATTATAAACCTGATATCTTTGATGAGTTTTTTTTATCAGCAAACATATTTGTATTCGGAATTAATGTCAGAATCATGATGTGACCGGATTTATAATCACGATTTAACTTGCTTAAGATGGTTGGATAATCCTTTAACTTATCGTCGTTTAGATGTGTTTGTGATTGTGTGACTTGAATGAATAACAACTTTAAATTGCGTACTTTAATTAGATATACCTTTTTATCCCACCGATCGAATATAAAAGGAAGAAAGGGGTTATAACTGTTTATCATGTTAATGTGCATGTACTAATTTAAGAACAGCAGAAGCAGTTGTCTATAATTTGTGTAGTTCTTTTCTTGATTTACTTTCATCTGGAACACTCAAACCTAAACATTCGGAAACCAAGGACGCATAAATATGTAAGATAAGATAAGATATTTTTATTAGTTTAAAATCCAAACAATCAGATTGCTAAATACGTAAAATAAGTAGGAGCTATACGACCAAAAGGGATCATTTTAGAGTAGCCAAATTCATCTTAGGTCAACTTTGTCCGAAGGAGTTTGTATATTGATGTTTTCGTACTTTAGGAAGAGCGTGTTGCCGACAGATCTTTGGTACTTTTATATACTAGTATGAATTCACTACTTGCCTAGAGAAGAGACGGTTTAGAGCTAGACATATGGTACACGCACTTATCCACTGTCCATATATTGACGTCTTAATTTTTTGTTTTTATTTGGGGCTCCGGCCTCAATGATACATGCATACATCTATTTTAATTCATACGTAGAAATTAACCAAACTTTATTTAGATTAGTTACCATTTTGATAACCAGAAGACAATGCAGACTGCATAGTTCTCTGAAAAAAAAAAGTTCGGAAGCACAATGTTCAAGAAACAACAAAGAAATAATTAGCATTAAAAAAAAAAGTTGTCAAGAATTACGTAAAAAATAGTACATTACCGTTTATTGTAAAACATACCTTAAAGAGTTAAAAAAAATATGCTGCACATACTTTCGATTATTCTACCAAATGAATATCTCTGTTTTCTCACTATATGACACAAACATGTCTATGCAGGGTACATGGCTGATCTTTGAATCGTTTAATCTAAAAAATATTTTTTGCTAAATGCTGAAGTCAACAGTGGCAAATCATTAATTGATGTTATACCACACAATTCTTCTAGTAAAAATCCGCTATACAAACAATCATTGGAAAGCTCCACACTATGAAAGTTCAGAACGAGAAAGATGACTGCAGTATACCAGATCCGTTAGTGGGGTATTACAAGTTGTAAATTTTCTATTCAAACATAATTAGATGTGGTATGATTGACAATGAGACAATTATCCACCAGATTCCAAATGACGTGGATTTAAACGAACCATAGGTCAGCTTACGGTCTTCAATAACGAACAAAATCTATACCGTATAGTCAGCTATAAACACCCCAGGTATGATAAATATGAAACAAATCACAAAAGAAAACCAATGGCATTAGTTATGCTAAAAAACAGATATTTCGGACAGCAACCTACGACATCCACTGTATTACAAGCTCCTGAACATGTAAATGAATAATGTAAAGGGTTTAAACATTTTTGTGAATGCTCAACCCTCACCTTCTCTGGGACAGTGATGTAATAAACCAACATGAAAACAAACAAAAGGACAAAAGAACAAAAGCCAAAGTATCGATCAAGAGTATTCCCAATGAAATCTACTATTAGTTTAAAGAAAAACAAATCAACATTATCTAAAAAGTAAAATATCAAAACTACCGAACTCAGAGGAAAATTCAAAACGGAAAGTCCTTTATAAAACGGCAAAAGATCTGACTACAGTGAGTGTAATAACATTAACGGAAAAGATCTCACCACAGTGAGTGTAATAACATTAACGGAAAAGATCTGACCACAGTGAGTGTAATAACATTAACGGAAAAGATCTGACCACAGTGAGTGTAATAACATTAACGGAAAAGATCTGACCACAGTGAGTGTAATAACATTAACGGAAAAGATCTCACTACAGTGAGTGTAATAACATTAACGGAAAAGATCTCACTACAGTGAGTGTAATAACATTAACGAAAAAGATCTCACTACAGTGAGTGTAATAACATTAACGAAAAAGATCTCACCACAGTGAGTGTAATAACATTAACGAAAAAGATCTCACCACAGTGAGTGTAATAACATTAACGAAAAAGATCTCACCACAGTGAGTGTAATAACATTAACGAAAAAGATCTCACCACAGTGAGTGTAATAACATTAACGGAAAAGATCTCACCACAGTGAGTGTAATAACATTAACGGAAAAGATCTGACTACAGTGAGTGTAATAACATTAACGGAAAAGATCTGACCACAGTGAGTGTAATAACATTAACGGAAAAGATCTCACCACAGTGAGTGTAATAACATTAACGGAAAAGATCTGACTACAGTGAGTGTAATAACATTAACGGAAAAGATCTGACTACAGTGAGTGTAATAACATTAACGGTAAAGATCTCACCACAGTGAGTGTAATAACATTAACGGTAAAGATCTGACTACAGTGAGTGTAATAACATTAACGGAAAAGATCTGACCACAGTGAGTGTAATAACATTAACGGTAAAGATCTGACTACAGTGAGTGTAATAACATTAACGGAAAAGATCTCACCACAGTGAGTGTAATAACATTAACGGAAAAGATCTCACCACAGTGAGTGTAATAACATTAACGGTACCAATCGTATTGCACCAGATGCGCATTTCAACAATTAATGTGTCTTTTGTAATAACCTTTAAGAAAAATATAGGCGAAAGATACCAAAGGGACATTCAAACTCATAACTTAAGAATAAACTGACAACGACATGGATAAAAATGAAAGAGACCAACAGACAAACAATTGTACACAAAACACAACAAAGAAAAACTAAAGATTGAGCAACACGAACCCTACCAAAAACTGGGAGTGATCTCAGGTGCTCTTGAAGGGTAAGCAGATCCGAATCCACATGTGGCACCCGTCGTGTTGCTCATGTTAGTACAAACCAGGTAATAAGTCTAATTCGGTAGATCACATTCAGGGAAAGGGGGAAAAGATTGTAGTTACGACAATTGGAACATATCCGCTATCATCTGTGAAACTGATATTCCATAACGGTGAACCAATTCGTGATGGCGTCCGTAAAATTTACGGAGGGATGACTTCAACTTCACCACTTAAAACTCTTGGTTTAATAGCTTCCTTGTGAGCACCAACCCTCTATTAAGGAAATCATGATAGGAAATACAAGCCCTGGAATTTCTTACCAACTGGGAGACTGGGAGATATATACTCCGTATGCAGGCGCTGCTGGAATGTTGCTACATAGAAATGGAAAGTTCACAACTGGGAAGCTGAAATCATCCCTTTTGTAGTAAAGTTTTGTTTTCAACTGGCTCTCATTGTCAATTTCTAGATGTAAATCAGGATATGAGGCATACTTAACTGTATCTGTTGTATCTTTTATCTCACGTTCGATAGATAGATATGTTCATCATAGTCACCAAATTTTGAGTTATTTAGTGAAAGAACAGCAGATTTTTTACAAAGCACGATTTATCCTTACCTAAGACAAGATACTTGTATCTACGTTGGCCATTCTTTTTTATGAAACAAAGCATGACCAACTCTATCAATTTGTCCTCATGTTTAGAATGGGGAATACTTGTGTAAAGTGTAGAAAAGTCAAATGTTTTAATACTTTTGCAAGATGAAAGAGACTAGAAGATCCAGTTCTTCAACTTTGTTGCAAATTCCAAAGGAACATAGAACAGACCTATGATTATCTAAGATGTCCTCCTTGGTAAGTGTCGTGGGGGTATATGTTGAGTTTCCAAGTGAATTGTCAATACCTAATTAATTTATCAAGCAGTTTATGTAATGTGATTTACACACAAAAACGATGTTGTTTGGGGCTTTATCTGCCGCGACAACAACATATTTGTCATGGAGGTAGGACAGGTGTTTTGCAACATTAGGATCTTTAAAGGTTTGGTATAGGTATAAGAAATGATAGGTACAGACTGATATTTAAAATAGGGAGGTATTTTCGAGTGAACTGATTTATGATGATGGATATTGCCCAAGTTGATGGCATCGAGACCTCTCTTGGCAAAGGA